TGGGAAGCAGCCTGCAGCTTGCAAATGAGCCAATAGGTTGGTGTATAGAATTCGTGTACTGAGAAGGTGATGAGCTTGATCTGTGTTGGGTTTCTTTAATCTTAGAAACATTGCTAGAAGCTCACTGAGGTTTTTAAGCTGATTCTAAAGGCACAGCCAAGTCTCCTTTACATTCATTGGGATTTTAATATGTTTTAATAAAAAACCAATCTCAGCTTTGTGAGACCCCCCCTGCAGCCCTGATCCAGCTCTGGGGAACAGCACCAGAGGGACGTGGAGCTGTTGGAGCGAGGCCAGAGGAGGCCCCGGAGTTGCTGCGAGGGCTGGAGCAGCTATTCTCGGGAGCCAGGCTGAGAGAGCTGGGCTGGGGCAGCTGGAGAACAGAAGGCTCCTGAAGGGGACACCTTAGAGCAGCTCCAGTGCCTAAAGGGGCTCCAGGAAACCTGGAGAGGGGCTTTGGACAAGGGCCTGTAGGGATAGGACAAGGGGAATGGCTTTAACCTGCCAGAGGGGAGACTGAGATGAGCTCTGAGGCAGAAGCTCTTCCCCGTGAGGGTGCTGAGGCGCTGGCACACGGTGCCCAGAGAAGCTGTAGCTGCTCCATCCCTGGCAGTGTTCAAGGCCAGGTTGGACACAGGGGCTTGGAGCAACCTGCTCTAGTGGAAGGTGTCCCTGCCCATGGCAGGGGTTGGAACAGGATCAGCTTTAAGGTTCCTTCCAACCCAAACCAGGCTGGGATTCTATGAATACTGCCAGCTTTTTCTGGTACCCTCTACCTGTTTGGCTTGGCAGACTTGTGTGGCTGTTCCTGGCTGGGAGCTTCGTGTGTGCTGGTTGGGATTTGGAGATCAAAGAAGGCAGATGGCTCTTGTGCTCATGCTGAAGTGTTTCAAGCAATGTCACTTGAATTTGAGGCTTGCTCTACGCTGCTGTAGATTTTTCCTGAAAGATATATGGACTTGCCTCTTTGAGTCTCCTGTTCCTCTGTCAGGTTTGGTTGAAGCTGGCTGGAGATTCAGGAGGTATCTCAGGAGGTCAGGTGGGGACAGTGTTATCTTTAGTCTCCTTTCTATGGGAAGCCAAGTTAATCAGAAGTGAAAGCCACAGACAAAGAGTGGCAAAGGAGGTATCATTTCATTCTTGCCTGTGGGAGGAATGACACAGGGCCCTGTGAGGCTCAGGCTTTTCCCTGTCCTTGCAGGATCTGCTAAGTGCAAGTGCTGGAACTACCAGCTTGCTGGTGTGGAGCTTGGATTGAAGTTCAAGCTGAAAGCTGCTCACTGCTTGTCAGGTCTCAGAAAGGTGATGCCTGTGAACTGCTGAATCCTTTCTGAACGTATATGAGCTCATTTTCATACAAATCATATGAAAACACCTTGGACATTATCTTGGGGCCAAAAGAGAGTAGTAGAATCCTGGATGAACGGATCTTCTTTCCATTGGGGTTTTGGCATGCAGAGCTCCCATTCTTGGCCATGGCTCTACCATTGTCGTACAGCATATAACAGAAAAATAGCTTTTGCAACAAAAAGAATCTGTTAAATGCCAGGATAAACTTCACTCTGGAAATGTTATTCTTTCATTTCATTTTACAATGCTTAGTATTCTTGAGTTCTAAAGCAGAGGTGGAGGGAAGAAAGGAAAATGTGCATTGGGAGAGGTAATGCTCCCCCAGTATTCGAGCCTGAGAACGGTGTGTGTTGGTAGGAAACACTCCAGCATCCTCATTTGTCTTGTGTAGGGGTCTGACCTTTGCTCACAACTCCACAGTGCTGAGTGCACACAGTGGCTGCTGGATAAGGGCTTTGTGGCTTTGACACAGCCTCCTCTGCTTTGTAGGTTTGCACAGTCCATGTTTCTGGATGAGTCTGCTGGACCATCAGCTTGCTGTGGCAGCAGCACTGATGCACTGCTTGAAGCAAAGATCATAGAATCATCAGCTGGTTTGGGTTTGAAGGGAACCTTAAAGCTCCTCCAGTTCCAACCCCTGCCACAGGCAGGGACACCTTCCACTAGAGCAGGTTGCTCCAAGCCCCTGTGTCCAGCCTTGGCCTTGAACACTGCCAGGGATGGGGCAGCCACAGCTTCCCTGTTTTGTTTCTGTGGAGGGGGCATGACAGGGATGTGAGCTGGTGAGGGCACAGATGAGCCCTGGGCTTCAAAAGGAAAACACTAAGCCAGGAAAACAATCAATTTTAAACATGTTTTTAACCCATTCCCCGGGAGGAGTTTGTTGTTCTCTTTGGCTTTCTTTTGGGGGGCGCTGCCGTTGTGGCTGTTAGGAAGGGCCTTACTCAGAGTGAGGTTATCCACTCATGACAACTTGACTTGAGGATATGCTTTTCATGAATAGTGTAGTGCTCGTGTGTAGCCAAGGGGCATGCCTGGGCTGGATAATTGGATTTGGAAGGCTGGTGTTTGGAGCAACTGTGACACTTCCTGCTGGGAAGCCAAGTTCTGCAGCGATGCAGCTGATACAACATCGGGGCAATCTGTTACCGCGCCTTTGTTCTCCAGGGGTCTGACGGGTGTAAAGAATAACCCCAGCAAGAGCCTTTCCTCAAGAGCGTGTCTGCTTCCAGCACAAGGAAGCAAAATCAAGACCTTGTTCTGTATCTATAAACCGATTCAAAATGTTTTGGGGGAGAACTGAGAGAAGTGAAGCTCTACAAAGCCTTCAGCAGCTTACACAGATTTACTGTGCCTGTTCTTGTCTTGAGCTCCTTTGTAACGTTCAGAAGGCTGCTCAGCTGCCACTGGAACCCTTTGTTCCTCATTTCTATTCTTAATAAATGAAAACAGGAGAAGCTGGCAGTAGGTTTTTACCCAGTTTGTCTTGTTTATTGACCACACATTCCTTGCAGGTACCTTTTGTGACTCGTCAGTCTGTTCAAATGTCTCAAGCAACCCAAGTCATCTTCCCTTTTCTTTTAAAAAGGGCACAAATTACTTTGGTGCTCTTGAGTTGTTCAGTTATTTTATCCTAGTTGCTGATTCAGTCTCATTCATACAGCTGCTGAATCTGATGTGCCCTCAGATCTGGAAGTGCTTAGATTTAAAAGCCTTACGCACTTTGGGTGAAATCTTTGCTCTGTGCAAGTTGGTTTTAGCTTGTGGCTTCAGGAAGCCCTGAGTTCTCAGGAGCTCTGATGCCCTTTGTATGGCAAAGTCCTTGTATCTCTTTATGATTTGGAGCTTATAGAGAACTAAACCACAGTTATAATTGAGTGTGCTGAAAGTGACTACTAAGAACAGCATGTGTGATGCAGAGGATGCTGCTTTCCCTCAAACTGTCCAATGATTTGAAAGAATAAATAAGGAAATGTTATATATTAATTCATACACATGCAGTGTTGAGATTTTTAGTACCAGTCCACTCCTTCTAATACCTAAAAAGGCAAGAAACCTGGAGAGGGGCTTTGGACAAGGGCCTGTAGGAACAGGACAAGGGGAATGGCTTGAACCTGCCAGAGGGGAGATTGAGATGAGCTCTGAGGCAGAAGCTCTTCCCTGGGAGGGTGCTGAGGCGCTGGCACAGGGTGCCCAGAGAAGCTGCGGGTCTTGACTCTGTCCTCGTGTGCAAGAACACAAATGTGAAGTGGTGGCTGCTCAAGTAACTCCCCGGGCTCTGCCAGAGCTACATGGATCATACCTGTTGTGAATGGGAGATATCCCACTTGAGGACAGTGAGACCAAAGGAGAATGAGGAGGGGTTGCTCTGGCAGAGGTTGAAATAAGAGAATCCTCTGCTTTTAGGGGTTCAGGACCCAAAATCTCTTTTTCCTCTTTGAGTTTGGAGCAGCCCCTCACATACTGCTTGCACATAGAGGTTTCTTTCAGCCACACATCAAGATTATCACTAAAGCTGTCGAGAACCTTTGGCATCAGCTTCATAAAAAGCAAATGTCCTGTTGGGACTTACCTCAGGTAATTCATTAATTCTTCTGTAAATAGAAGGCTTGCTATGCATCAGTGGTGCTAGGGGATGTTTCTCAAGAGGGAAATAAACCCTGTAGCAGGGCCCGTGGTGAGCAGAGAAGGCTCATTATCCTTCTGGTTTAATTCTACAAGGAAACAAAAATACAGTCTCCATCTTGGTGATGATATTAGAGGGAAAGTACAGCTGTTGATACATCCCTCAGGGATGTGCATGTCAGCTTGAGAGCCCTCAGGTGAATACACGTTTCTCTGGTTACAGGATAGGAACAGCACAACCTGCCCAGCCTGGCTGAGTGCTGCCTTGCTGCATCACACAGCAGGGGCTCCAGTTAGGAGGTCATTGCCAGCAGTCCTCCTACACCAGGTCCCAGAGTACTGGTTTGCATGAGCTGTTAAAGAAGTCCAGAACATAGAATCCCAGCCTGATTTGGGTTGGAAGGAACCTTAAAGCTGATCCTGTTCCACCCCCTGCCATGGGCAGGGACACCTTCCACTAGAGCACGTTGCTCCAAGCCCCTGTGTCCAAGCTGGCCTTGAACACTGCCAGGGATGGGGCAGCCACAGCTTCTCTGGGCACCCTGTGCCAGCGCCTCAGCACCCTCACAGGGAAGAGCTTCTGCCTCAGAGCTCATCTCACTCTCCCCTCTGGCAGGTTAAAGCCATTCCCCTTGTCCTGTCTCTACAGGCCCTTGTAACAGGGGTGTTCTCTGCCTGTGGTGCTCTCCAGGCACAAAGACGACTCGCAGTGGCTCTGCATGCACCAAGTTGGGAGGGTATCACTGTAGTATCATTTGCCTATTTGCTTGCTTTTCAGTGCACGGCCAGAACAGGTATTCCCCACACTATTTTCAAAGCAATCTTTTTTTTTAATCAGAGTTACAATTGTTTCTGGATACACGACCGTGTTTTTTCAGTGATGTTTTAACTGTATTTGACTGGCCCAGAGCGGTCACTTCCTTGGCAATAAAACTAATCTGTTGATGGATTTCAGCAGTATCGGAGTACAGAAAGGAAAAACTCCCCTGCCTTCCATTGCTAACAGTGTTTCTCCCTACTCCCAGGTTTGGAGGGGCACTTTGGCTCGCCTTCGCTACAAGAGGACAAAGGCTGCCCTCACCATCCTCAAGTATTACCGCCGCTACAAGGTGAAGTCCTACATCCGGGAGGTTGCACGGCGCTTCCACAACGTGAGGCAGATGAAGGACTATGGCAAGCACGTGCAGTGGCCCACCCCACCCAAAGTGCTGCGCCGGTTTGAAGAGGCACTTCAGACCATTTACCACAGGTACAGAGGAAACCTCTTGTCTTTTCAGTCTAACCTCGAGTAGCTACAAGCTACTGCTTCTTCCAGGAAGGTTGGAGAAATGACCGAAGAACATTAACTGGATGTCACAGATGAAGATGTCAGTGGCTTTTGGTACCCATGAGCACACAAATAATTACTGTGCTTCAAAGATTTAGTCAGGATGGACATTGTATTTCCTTCCTTGGCCCCTTTCTGCTTAGGTTTAAAAGAAAGGAGCTGCTGCTGTTAGATGAGGGGGAGCAGAAAAGGAACCTTGACTTCCTCGAGACTTCTTAGATTAAGCCAGTATTTTTCTGCAGTAGAATAAGCAATATTCCCCTGTTCACCCATGTTCTATTCTATAAAATATAACTATTTCATGCCTTTATTACAATCTGTCGTCTGAAAGCTGGTGACTTTTTTTCTCTGGTAAGTTGTAGGCAAAGTAGTTACAATTCTAATTTGAAAAATGGCAACTTCTGGAAATTGCTGGGCAGGAGAAATGTTGGCTGTATGGGGCCTCTAGAGACCTCCAATCCAGCCATCTGCTTGAAGGGGGATTATCACCAGCACTAGATCAAGTCAGCCTTGGTTTTTTCCCCAGCTCCCTCTTGAAAGCCATCCACAACCTCTCTGCTTCCAGAATAAGCTCAATTCTCATAACTACAACATTTTAGTTGCTAAAAGACTTTCCATAGCATTAATCCTGGAGACCTGGTGTTGCTGCTGAAGGCAGGAATGTGGTATGGAGTAAAGGGTGGGCTGCCCTGCCCTCTTTCCTGTTACAGCTGGTTAGTTCCAATTGTAGGGCCACATTCAGCTGTTAAAGGAGAATGATGTTGTAAATGAGCCAAAAAACGGGCTTGCAAAAGCTTTATTGCAAACAGATGTGCCAGTAGTTGGCTTCTGGGTGTGGGATGGGCAGTCTACCAGCCAGATCTGTTAGGAGTCAGAGATGACTTTGAAATGGGAACTGGCATTCTCAGCTTTATGAATGGGGGGACTTCATTTCCCCTGGACATTGGTAGGCTGGGGCTGTTCCTGTTGTGTTGATCTGGGAGAGGTCCTCATAGTGTGTGGTACAGACTGTGGGACTGATTCAGGTGTTCTGTGGCAGGTGGAGAGCAGGTGAACTCATCCGGAGCGTCCCACCAGAAGTCCTACCTCAACTGAGGGCCAAGGTTGCTGCCATGGAAGTGCTGAAGGGTCACAGAGCTGATATTGGCCTACAAAGAGCATGGGAGGGGAATTACATCGCCCTGGTGAGTACAAGTGAAGTGATCAACAGAGTGACTGGGGCTTAGGATGCTAAAAGGGTGGAAATGAGCAACCTGGGCTAGTGGAAGGTGTCCCTGCCCGTGGCAGGGGATTGGAACTGGAGGAGCTTTAAGGTCCCTTCCAACCCAAACCAGTCTGGGATTCTATTATTGCCACTGCTACTGAACAGGGGCCACTTGAAGAAGTGACTTCTGGTTTCTTGGGGGGGAGAAATTCCCTCTGTAAATGGGTTTATGTAGTTTCAGAATCTTTGACTTCTACTGCACTAGGAGTGGGTTTTCTGAATGCTGAGCCTAGCTTGAGCATTGAAAGCAGCATGAAAAGCTAATGAGTAATGCCATCAGCTGGCCCTTCAATGGCTAAAGCTAAGGAAGAAATCAATGTAAAACTAAGATGTAATATGGGATAAGATATAATGGGACGTTAAGAAATAGCATAAAATGAAAAGGAACAAAGAAGTTCTCTCTAGGCAAGTTGCATTGCTTCCTTTCACTCCGTCCTTCCTCTAAGCAGTTTGTTTTGTTCAGGGTTTTCTTTCAGAAAGCACATAGATGCTCTGCAGCTCTTTGATGAGGCAGAGGCTGGAGGAAGCCTTCGGACGAGCTGCTGCAGCTGCAGTCCTCGGGCCAGCAGGGATGTAACACAATTACCTGTGGTGAGCAAGAAGAGTTACGTGCCTGTCTTTGCTCTTCCAGAAACCAGACAACTCTCAGACCACGGGCTCTTTCATCCCTGTTGCCAACGAGCTGAAACGGAAGGACAAGTACATGAACGTTCTCTTCTCCTGTCACGTCCGCAAGGTAACGGGCACACGTGTGGTCTGCACGCACATGGGCTGCCTGGGGAAGCTTCTGGTGGCCAGGGTGAAACCTTGGCAAGCCCAGGGTGAGGGAGGAATCCTGGACATGCTTTGACAGGCAGCAGTTCAAAGCAGTTTGAAGGAGCAGTGTCAGTGATTTTATGATGGATACGACCCTGGAACCTATTGCACCGAAGGTTGCTTGCTTTGGGTGGCTTCTGTGGCCTCTGCAGGTCAGAGGCATGAATAAATGCACTTGATTCTGTGTCACTGGCTTGGGCCTGCCTTGTTTTGCAAGACAATGGTTTATTTGTTAAATTGGTTGGAAGGTTTAGAAAACTAATTAGAAAAATGTGCTGGTATAATTTCCTGTGGGTAGTTCAGGATGGTCTGAATGAGGCTGGATTTAACTGTCTGGCAGGGAAGGATATCCTGAATTTTACAAAGCCAACAGACCAAACCCATTTCAATGGCAGGCTGATGCTGCTGATGTTCAAGTAGTTTTAAGAAGCTGTTATATGCCTTTTAGTTCTAAAAATGTGCTATTGCAGTTGGTCCCCACTTGCCAGAAGTGGAGCATGTCCATGATTATCCTTTATGATTCTGCAAATATTATATGTCATAGTAACAACACAGTTAATTTTGCAGCCTAAAATCTCACTTCATAACAAAACTTCTGTGCTAGTGGTAGTGAGTTACAGTATTTATCCAACAGTGATTCGTGTATATGAAAATTTCCATGTGTTCTATTGCTGTTAATGTGTTCTCTTTTAAGAGTGCAGTTCAGAAGCTGAATGTGTGGTTTGAGTGAATGTTGGTTTCTATTGTTAAGATTAAAGGAGGATCCGGCTGAGTCTGAATCCAGCACTTTGGCTGGAGCATCCATTAGGGACAAGAAGACACAGGACAAATTTCCCCCTTTATTCACTGTGGGCTGAAAACAAAATAATTCCTCTTCTAATCCATTGAAGGAACTGCTTCCAGGTTGTTGCTGTCTCTGGATACACTGGAGTAATTGTAAAAACACAGTACTCACTTCCTAAAGATGCCATCATAGGAATTGTGGATTTGCATGGGTTTGGAATGCCAGGGAAGGGAGTTTCTCAGGCTCTGTGTGTATGATATACATGTACCTGGTGTGGGAGGTTCATTTTGCTCATTGTTATGCAAGTTTGAAGCTTTAAAGTCTTTCTGTTTCTCATGCTTGGTACTTTATCAGCCCTGAAGGACCATCTCCTGTGCAAGCATAGGGGAAGGCAGGTTTCTGCAGCCCAGATCCATACCTTGTCCTGGGCAGTAACTGCAAGCACAGAGCTCCTGCCTTTAGGCAAGTGTCTGAGTGGGGTTTTTTTGTTTGTGGTATATGAAGATCCTTGAGCACACAAACAGGCCTTGTTCTGTCCAACCTGGTACTGTTACTGTGCTGGAAAAATCCATTCTCTGCTGGGACTTGTGGCACTGCTGTCCCAGCACTTCCATAATAAAAGCAGTTTGGAGATGGAATAGATATTACCTGCCAGCAATTAGGTTTCTTCCTGAGCCTGAGAGATTACTTTCAGTGCATTCAGAGGGGAAGAAAGCTTCAGCTTCCCATTGTGCTTAAAAAGTGTAGCTCAGCTGAAATCAGAACATACTGCAGAGACTGTGAGGTTCTAGACTTGCAGTCTGGTGGGGTTTATAGTCTCTTTTGGTCTTTTTAAAAGTGAAATTGTTGGTCACTTTCTTCTATCAGAGAGGTCAGGCTTAATTCTTCCCATTGCCTGCTTAGTTAGGGATACCTTTGGGATTATCAGCAAAGGTGGGTCAGTTGGCACGGGGGGAATCACAGAATCCCAGACTGGTTTGGCTTTGGAAAGGACCTTAAAGCTCATCCAATTCCACCCCCTGCCATGGGCAGGGACACCTTCCACTAGAGCAGGTTGCTCCAAGCCCCTGTGTCCAACCTGGCCTTGAGAGCTGCTGCTCATCCACAACCCAGTTGTGCCCAAGTCTTTGAAGTCATTAATACTTTTCTTGGCCTTTGTTCTTAAGGATCTGTGTTTTCTGGACAGAAAAATATAGCTGAATTTAGGGAAAATACAGCATCCCCTTTAGGAAAATGAGGGCCTTAAAGGAGCACCTCTCCACCAACTAACAGATAAAATCATTTCAGCGTTGCTGTTGAGGACAAGACTGCAGCTTTGTAGGATCTTTAATGATATGTGTAAGTCTGGCAATTTCAGTCCATCTGCATGTTTAAACTCAAAAGCAAATGATCCTTTTCAAATCCATGCTTGGATATAATATCTATTTGAGTGAACCATTTGTCTTCCTTCTTGTGTGGACAAGAAATATCCAAGCAAGCCTGAAGTGAACAAAGGAGAGAAGACAAACAGTCCTGAACTTTGAAAGCTAACAAGACAAAGATTTGACATTTCAGGATTTAGCATTTCACTTTCCAACCAATGCTTTGGGTATTCTATTATGCCTTAAATTTGAACATGGGATTTGCAGACTAAGCAACAGTGAAAACCGTTGCAAAGCCTGTGAGTGACTCCGTGCTCTGACTACAAGAGCACAGTCTTTACCCTGAGAACAGCATTAACCTTCTTTTGCTCTTCACATAAAACAGTTTCTATCTTGAGCTGCCTTTTTGAAGCAAAGGTGTTTCTTTTGCCAAAAATACAAGCTGAGGCCTCTTGCCCAAAGAGTAACAGCAGCCTGAGCCTTTGGTGCTGTGGGACAGGGAGAGTTTCTTCCAATTGCTATGTTCTTCCCTTTTTAAAATCAATAAATTCATAAAGTTTCTTCCTTTTAGCCTTACCCTTCTTGAACTTCCCCATGTCAAATGTTAATTGCATGAAAGGGACACGTCGTGCTAGCACGTTGAGGCTGTCCTGGTGGGCAGAGCACTGGGGAGGGAGGGACTTCCACTGCAGGGAGCTTTGTGACATTTCTATTGCTAAAACTGGTTTGTGGTGGATTTGAAAATTTGGCTGGTTTTTCCTCAGCTGAAATTTGGTTCTTGCAAAGCTTTAGCAGGGGCCTGACGAGGGAACAGTAGAAATGAAAATGTAGGCAGTGATCAGGTGATTTCATTGCTCCCCTTAAATAAAACTCTTTAGCAAAGCATCAGGCCACAGAATAAGGTTGTTCGAGTTCATTTGTGGTCTGTTTTCGTGATTCAGCTTATTTGGGGAATCTTGAGCAGAAAGTGCAGAAAGTTCCTGCTGTCCCTTTGCCGGGCAGGAAGGTGCTACTGGTGAACTTGGTGAGCTCAGGTGAGTACTTTATTTCTGGAGCAGCATCAGGCTTCTTTGCAGCTTTCAGTAAGGTACCGAATCATCACAAGATCTGAACATCACAAGAACTACATGTTAAAGACTTCTTGTCTGTGCACAGCAATGTCAGGTGTCTGCTCTTTAAAATGTTCCTAGAATCAAACAATTGGGAGGGATCTCAAGGATCATCTGGTCCAACCTTTCTAGGCAGAGCATGACCTAGAGGAGATGGCCCAGCTCCCTGTCCAGCCAAATCATAACTGGGAATTCCACCACTTCCCTGGGGAGATTATTCCCATGGCTGATCTTTCTCATTGTGAACAATTCTCCTCTTGTTTCCAGCTGGAATCTCCCCAGGAGTAACTGTGCCCATCACCCCTTGTCTTTTCTATGCGACTCCTTGTACAAAGAGAGTCTTCAGCTTCCATCTTTCAGATAATTGCAGTCTAATACACCTCCTTCTTTGAAAAGACATTAAAAGGATGAGCATTGGGCAGTTGGAACAGACACAAGTTAAGCCTGTACTTCATGTATTTAAACCTGTTTATGTCTAGAACATACCTTATGACCTGTAAGATATTTGTGAACCATTAAATTCTTTGAGACAGGTGTTTTGTAGCTGATGATTGATGTTGTTCTAAGTCAAGGTGGTAACAGCACCTCCTGCCAGCCAGGGAACTGCTCTTGAAGTACTGGGAACTGCTGGTGAGACTTTCCTTAGCTTGAGTGCACAGGGTCTTCATTTCAACAGCTTGAGCTGAATAATAACAGGTGAATGTGTTTGGACTGAAGCTTATTTAGCTCTTGTTGTAGAAGGGCTGTGAAGAGACTTGGAAGTCTCACTGATGGGAGGTGCGTGTGCTTGCTTTCTGCAGGTAGGTATACTAGAAGGAGGTCATCTCTGCCTATGGAAAAATCCATCTTTCCTGAATGTTGTGGTGCTCTTCATTGTTTCAAAGGAAATTTGCATGGGTTTTGCCTTGGGAAGCCACACGCTTATTTCACTTGTAGCACCAGGTTTTGTTGGATCACCAAGGAAACAACAGTTTCTGGGTTTTTTTGGGAGGGAGCTTTACTTCCCACTTTCTCCCTCTCCCACCCAGCTCCCTTGAGATCACCATCTCTTCCAAAGCCAGTGCTCTGCAGTGTCTAGAGGCCCCAGGCAGAGACCTGAAAAGCTCATTTGAAGGTTTTCCTGCTTCCTTTTCCCCCATCACCTAGTCAAGAGGCTAAAATAAGACTGATTCCCATTTGGATCAACAAAGATATAAATAAAAAATGCCCAGAAGGTGCAGAGCACACAATGCCAGGCAGGGCTGTACTCCACAAGGGAAGAAGCTGTATCTGAGAACATAAGGCCTGTCTCCACTCCTACAAATTCAAAAGAATAGTGGCATTTGCAATGGTGCTGGCATTTGTCCGAATCTCTTCTGTGCTGCTTCCCAACGTGACAATTTCCTTCTAAACCCACAGATTGTATTATTTACATAAATACACCATAGGTGCATGAGGCACCAGAAGTAATGGCTTGGAAAGAGCTGGAAAGGGCAGGAGTTGTAGAGCAGTGAAGATGTTCTTCTCAGCTGCTAGACTTGCTCTTTGGTACCTCTCTGTAGCTGTTCAGCTGAGTGTGAACACTAAAAATGGTGGGTGACCACAAGAAGTGGAATTTGAAACAAGCTTGTAGAACTACTACAACATTACATTGCCTTGTGAAGGCTGCGTGTGCTTCCTGGCCCCAGGATGGCTCCTCCTGTGCTGGGGGGCTCTGGTTGCATGGTCTCTGCTGGACATGGGCAACAGGCAGGATGTTGTGATGGAGATGGGAGCAACAAGCAGGATCATGGCAGTGCACAGGTTGTGTTGTCAGGCTCTTTAAATGCTCAAAATAAATCAAAAATAGCCATGTGTGGGAAGCATGATGGGATAGCATCAGCTTTGAGGCCACAGACCCAGCTCTGAGGTCACAGCCCCACACACTGGAGGACCCTTTGCTTAAACTCCCAAAACATGGAACGTGGTGTGCTGGAAGCTGCTCACCCAAATTATGGTGTGAGGAGCCAGTGCTACTCTGCCCAAACAGCTCAACGTGTGGCACCAGATTCTCCTCACCTGCTTCCTCGGGGCCATTCAGTGTTCCATAGCCTGCCTTTTGTTTTCCTCCCATTCATCTGCTTCCTAAAATAACCCCAGTTATTCAACATCTCTTCCTGTGAGCTTTTCCAGGCCCTCGGTCATGTTCTTCACCTTCTCTGAACCATTAGTCTCCTCCACGTTCACCATCCTGGGGCTTTACACACTATTCCCAGTGAGACCGTGGCTCCCAGGACATTATTGATGCCTTGCTTGTTTTCAGCTGCCTCCCATGTTTGTGCCAAGATCTATCCAGAGCTGTCTACAGTGATCCTCAGTTAGCTTTCCTGAGCTGGGGCTGCTAATTTAAAGCTGTCACAGAACTCTCCAGCTTGCATTTTTTGCCTTTATCTACTCTGAACTTTATCACTCTGCTGCCTATTGCCTAAGAATATTTAAGTTTTCCAGTTGTCTCCTGCTTTCACCTAGGAAAATCCTATTTATGTTCCTGCCCTCATCACGTCTCACCCTTGTCTACCCTTCTCAGTTGATTAATAGCTCTCTCTGTGACTGTGATACACCGATGACTCCAGTTTTGCCTGAAGTGGAAAACAATTTCTACTTCGTGTCCTACTTTCTCACTTACTTTAGTTAGAGCTTTGCATCTTGCCTTGCGACTATTCAGTACGTGGCCTCTTGGGCAGCTCAAAGCCTAGCTGGCATCAAAGGTTCTCCTTTGGTGGGGTATTTCCTGGACAAATAAATGGGGATATAAACGAGACGTGTGTTTCCTCTGTGAGAACCTCACTTGCTGGAGCCAAATGGTACCAGCAGCCTGAGAGAGTGTTTGGGATGAGTTGAGGTGGGATGGGGGGAATTGAAATGATCAGTGTTCAGAAAGGAAATATGAGCAAAGGCATGACCCCAGGGTATGAAACTGCCATATGTTTCCTGCTCCTTCCAGTTCTGTTTTTGTAATCAACCACACTGATTCCATAAGGTGGGAATAGTGGTTTATTAGCTTCAGTCTTCCTGAATCTTCCCCAGATCAGAGGCTCTTGTGAAGGTACAACGTTTAGTATCTTGTCTCCTTTGAATGGGTACATTTTTAACACACAGTTGTATATTTTGGTAATAATTGTCCACAAGTGGCATTTGACAGCACTTTGGGGATTTAATTTCTCAGATACTGGAGGGATGGTGTTGTTGGAGACACGATTGGTGGCCAAAACTAGACATGAATTCAGAATACCTACAATTAAGAGAAATGATATTACATGAGCACTACATGCCTTGCTGCTGGGCCATGTCATTACTTTGCATCATTACCTGGTGCACTACCCAGAGCTTATTTTCCCCATAAGCCTGAGTGCCTGGTTCTGGCAGCAATATCCCAGCTGGGCCATATTTTGAGTTGAAATTAAAGTGAACCAACTTCTTGAGTATGCCTGAGATAGTCCATGAGAGTTGGGACACAGAGATGCAGATAATCTCTGCTGCTGTTGGCTGCTGGTGAGATTAAGGTGATAATATAGTGGTTTACCCCAGCAGGCAACTAATGGTTCTTCACTGAGCTATAGAGTGTGTCTGTAATTGGTCTTAAATTTACAGCTGGCAACATTAAGATGCTGAGATATTAATGTTTCCCAGTGGCAACACTAAGCTGTGTTTGCTGAACTACTAGAAACTGTCAGAAGATTTCAGACACTGTGAAGTCTGTTTTCTTGGTAGCATGTGGGCTGGTGAAATCACACCATGATTTAGGTGGGATGGGACCTCTGGAGGTCTGTGGTCTAACCTTGTGCTCTTAGCAGGGTTGACTTCAGATTTAGCTCAGGTTGCTCAGACTCTCAGTCAGCTGAGGTTTGAAATCCCCAAGGATGCAGCTTCCACAGCCTCTATCCCAGATTTTTTCCTCTTATACAATCCCAGACTGGTTTGGGTTTGAAGGGAGCTTAAAGCTCCTCCAGTTCCAACCCCCTGCCACGGGCAGGGACACCTTCCACTAGAGCAGGTTGCTCCAAGCCCCTGTGTCCAACCTGGCCTTGAACACTGCCAGGGATGGGGCAGCCACAACTGAACAGAACTGATGTGTTTCCTTCCCCTGCTTGTCACTACTCAGAGGTCACAAAAAAGGCAGATTTTGGTCATGTCAGTGAATTGACAGCACTGGTGAGGACCAGAGGCAGCTCAAGGTGAGGGGTTATGATCTCCTGGAAGGGACAGGACATCGTTCTCGATGGCAGGAAGCCTTTAGGCAAGACTGGTGGTGCTCTTGCTGCCTCTTTTGCAGAGGAAGGGAGAAGGTTGTGTTCCGCACCCCTTGCAGCCTGAGGGCACTGCAGCTTGGGTCTTCTGCTTGCCGAGAAAGAACCTGCCCTTCCTCCCACCAGCTGCTTGCCTCCGTCCCTGTGTACAGGCTTGGGCTCCTTCCAGCCTCTTTGCTCTCATCTCCCTTCTTGCAGCATGGCACAACTTGAGCAGAAGCAGGGCAGAGCACCCGTCCCAGGCTAGCACAGCCCCTGGGGGACTGGGGAAGGGTGACTGCCACCTCTTGGGCAAGTTCCTTCCCTACCTCCAAGGCACAAGGTTTTGAAAGAGGGAAATGGGATCTGAAATGGGATCTGCTCCAATTTAGGATGGACCAAAGCATCTGCTTCCAGTGCCTCAGATATGGACTGTCCCAGACCCTGGTGGCACCTTGCTTAGCTCTGTGGGACAGGTATTGTGCATTGTGCTTTTTGGGGTGATGAAGGCACATACACAATGTAGGAGCAACAGCCATCTGCCTGGGCTTGGTGTCTGCTGGTGGACAGGGATGTAGGTTGAACACTGCTAGGGAGAAGCATCTGTCCTTCAGTTCATTGAAGCCATGGATTTTCCCACGTTGCCACAGCTCTGCTGGATAACTCTGGGAATGCTGCTTCTCCAAGACTGTGTTTCTCTGGTTGTAAAATGGGATTATGGGATCCCTCTTCCCTTTTCACTGGTTGGAGATCAGGGGAGAAAACCTGTTGAAGAGCTCTGGGAGTTTTGTGTGCTGGCTGTGTGAGTTTGGCATATTTACTGCTGTCGAGCTCTACTCTGCGTGTTCCTGCAGAGATCAGTGGGACTGAAGATGTGCTGCTTTGCAGGTCAATCGCTTTAATAAGGTGGAGGACAGAGCAATCTTCATTACGGACCGACACCTGTATAAGCTGGACCCTATGAAGCAGTACAAAGTGATGAAGACCATCCCCCTCTATAATGTAAGTACAGGGAGTGGGGAACCTCATCCTCAGGCTCTCTTAGTCATGGGGGTGCATCTACTGCTGAGCTCCATTTTCATACTCCTAAACAGACTTTGGTTTATTTTAATATATCTAATGTCTTTACAATGGTTACAGTGCAATTAACTGCAACTCCAATACATCATATTAGCTTTTAATTTCAGTGCATAAAATAAAAGCTAAACCCCAAACTATTTATCACTCTCTCTTCTGCTTGTTCTTCTGCTGGTTTTTATTTGCTGTGTGCTGCAAGATCGTGGTCCCATAAGGCGGGTGGCATTTCACAGCAGCTCAGCAGCTCATGACATGGTTTTTGTGTCTCTGGGGGTTTGGTTGATCCTTCCTGGCATGTTTGATTTTAATATATTTGTTCATGTTTAATGTAAATCTTATCAAAGCTAAATTTGGAATCACAGTGAGGTATGTGCCCTTTGGGGTAGCAGAGTTTAGCTGCCGGTGACAAAGCAGCAGATTATCACTGGAAAGAAGGGGGATGGGGGGAAACTTCATCTTAGCTCTTCATCAGCCTGGAGTTGGGGATTTGACTCCTTGTTTGTTTTCCTCAGCCTGAGGTTACACTGCCCCTGTTATCTTAAACCTGCAGAACCTGGCCGGGTGGCTTGGAAATGCACACGGATTTGTTGGGATGTTTGCATTTGGAGAAACGACAAATGTGGCGTCCCCCTATTGCTAAAAGAGCAGAGATGGGATTAGGGTAATGCTAAAATCCAATCTGGAAACGTGGAGTGAAGGATTTGTTCTGACTATATACATAGTATTGATGTTATAGGTCCTCTCCTTGGTGGCCACGCACCCGCCACCCACCGCAGCTCATCGCGCTGAGAGCAGTGCCGGTAGCAAAGCGACGTCTCCCGCCCTGGCAGCATCTCTTGTTTTGAGCAGCCACTGCTGCCAGGCAGGCAGCAGCTGCAGGTCATTCTCCTCACTTGATGTTCTGTTCCACTGACATTGTCTCTTAATTGTGCAAAATGGAAGCGTCAGCAGATTCTGCTGCTGAATGGCTGCTTCTCACTTGTGCAAAACGACTTGTTCAACTCCAGGGGCTCTGGGCAGAGTCCTTCTCCTGGCTGGGGGAGGTCGTGAAGTGCCAAAGTGAACAGGGGTGGACGAGGAGGAATTTTGTCCATGGCCATTTCTCTCTTTTAATTTTCAGTGCTCTTAGCCTATACAAAATGGCCAGGCCACTGCAATTCACTTCCTACATTAGTAATGATGGAAACATCTGGATTTATCACAGCTTTAGGACAGTGTCTGCTTTACCTGTGTGTCCGAGGGCTTTAAAGGTGGAGCTTGTACATTTACTTGACAGCACGAGCCCAGATTGCTCTGAAATCCATAATGCCTCAAACATGAAAGGAGATGAGCAAACCAAATGCAATTTTAGGTTACCTGTGAAATATCCATTGCATAGAAATGTCAGTAATGGGTATTTTTTCCCCAAACACATCCATATAATATAGAATATCCTTTCAATAGAGTGCTGTAGCACAGGCTCTATGGTGGCTCTTTGCTTTGCATTTCCTCTGGTACCAAACCAGATGGGCTGTTCAGGAAGGTCTCTTGCTTTTAGAATACTTGATTTTCCATAGGTGTAAATCAGCTTTATTTATAGATGTGCAATTGTTCCCTTCAGCAACCTACCATAAGGCTTCTTGACTGAACAGTTTCCTCCACATGAGCAAACGTGAAGGGGTCCTGGAGGATTTTGCAGGGGAGGGGTGGGTCCAAAAGACCCTTCATCTACTCATACATGTGTCAGAATAACATTCCAGAGTGGAGATTCATAGAATCCCAGCCTGATTTGGGTTCAAGGGACCTTAAAGCTCATCCATTTCCACCCCCTGCCATGGGCAGGGACACCTTCCACTAGAGCAGGTTATGCAGTTGTTAATTCCTTTTTGTAGTTACCTTTACACTTTGTTACTTACTGATTTGTCTTTCGCCTCATGAGCTGCCTTGTACACTCATATTCCTGCATGCCTCATCCCTTCCTGCATGGAAATCCTTTCGCAGTGTACAGGGACCTGTGAGTAGCCAGTTAGTGATAGAGAGATTCCTGCTTTTTCAGGGAAAGAACAATTATTTGAACTGATAGGAAGAGTTTTGAGAAGCAGTGGGTTATAATTACACCCGTTGTGATGATTATCAGTGTATCAGACATGTCCTGCTAGCAAGATGTGTGTTCCCTGAGGAAGGTGGATCACCCTTCCGATGTGTAGAGCTGAACCCGGCTGAAATTCATCTGCCTGTTCGCTGTGCTGCTCACTGTCAGCATTCCAAAAGCACCCTGTCAACACGGCAGCATCCTTAGGGATGGTGTTTCCATGGAAATCTCACTGGAGACAGTCAGCTGATGTCTGTTACGACCGTAAACTTGTTTTCGGCTGAAGAAACCGCACTACAGTGCCCATGTCCTTTAAACGTGGGGACATGTACATGGTTTAAGGACAGCCTGGAATGCTGCTCAGGTCCCTGGCTCTGCCTCCTGGTGCCTTATGTCTTGTCTGAGGCATCTGGAATTCTGTGCAAACGATGACAAAGCAATAGGCTTCCTCTCAGCCCTGTTTCGCTGTATCACGATGCTACTTTGGGGCGTTTGCTGCCTGCAAGTGTTCTGGCAGTTGCCTCAGAAGTACCAATAGACAATTAGCTTTTTGTTCTCACCTGGAGAGAAAATGGAGAATGACAGAAAGGAATCAAAAGGCAACTGAGCAGCAGAAAGGATCTTGCGACTCCCTTGCTCCGAGCACAATAAAGGATGTTCTGTGGCTGCTGAGCATTTTCTCCTGATCGTCAAGCAGAGTTAATAAGAGTGTTTGTAAATACTGAGATAAGCCCCTTCTCTGAAATGATTTCCTTTGTGTTCTATTTATTTGTTCAGAGAGACTGATGGGGAGGGGTGAAACAGGAACACTTTCAAGGGCTCTTGGGCTCCTCACACGGTTCTGTTGAATAATTAATGTTTAAATAGGCTTTTCGACTCCAGCCATTTCAACTTGTTCATCTTTCACACTTGATGCACATTTAAAACCTCAATGGCAGTAGTCCCTGTGGTGCTATTGTGCTCACAGGATGGTATTTAAGTATGCAAATTAATTTTAAGGGACACTATAAACCCAGGGAGCTGTTAATGTCTGAGCATGAAGTGTAGCTTGGTTTTCAAGTATTTCCTAACCTCAAAATAGCATGAACAGTAGAGAATAAACACCTGTGTTGGGGATATCATGCAACTGGTAGCAGGAGGTCTCTGCTCAGGGTTTAAGATACCAGCAGTTACAGTAGTTCAGACAGGCTGTTGTGCTGTGATAATAAACCAACAACATGATAAGGACGAGGATACTCAGGGGCTGGAACATCTCCCATATGAAGACAGGCTGAGAGAGCTGGGCTGGGGCAGCTGGAGAAGAGAAGGCTCCTGAAGGGGACACCTTAGAGCAGCTCCAGTGCCTAAAGGGGCTCCAGGAAACCTGGAGAGGGGCTTTGGACAAGGGATGGAGGGACAGGACAAGGGGAATGGCTTTAACCTGCCAGAGCGGAGAGTGAGATGAGCTCTTGGGCAGAAGCTCTTCCCTGGGAGGGTGCTGAGGCTCTGGCACAGGGTGCCCAGAGAAGCTGTGGCTGCCCCATCCCTGGCAGTGGTCAAGGCCAGGTTGGACACAGGGGCTTGGAGCAACCTGCTCTAGTGGAAGGTGTCCCTGCGTGTGGCAGGGGGTTGGAACAGGATGAGCTTTAAGGTCCCTTCAACCCAAACCAGGCTGGGGTTCTATGATCCTAAATACAAGTGATTCTAAACTTGGGTAGTGTTTCATCCACCACGCTGCTGTGTGGGGTTTCTGGTGTGCTTCTCTGGGAGGACGCTGCTGTCTGGTGTGTGTTAGACGTGCAGAGCTGGAACAGGTTTCTTGGACATAATATGTTGTGACTGCTAAAGCAAACACAGGGATCCAGGCTGTGTCTGAGTATGATTCATGCCTCTGAAAGGCGTGAGTCGTCTCCAGCTCCATTTGTGCTAATATCCTTTCCAATGCAGGCAGTGGGGTCACATTGAAGGTTTCTTTCCTGAAGAAGGGAATAGTAAGACTTTGATACCCACAAAATTGTGTATTGGTGCCTCTCACTGTTAGGAGAATGTGGGTAGCCTGCATACCTGGATTGCCACTGCTCAAAATTCTCTGCTTTGGCTTTGGGAAATGATGAAGACAAAGCTTTTAATGTGCCAGAGAGCACTTGCTTAACAGACACAAAAATAAAACCCCAAACCTAAACCCCAAGCCTAAACCCCACTCCTTTTTAGTTTGTCCAAACACCAGGAGCTTAATCCATGCCAAAATACTGGAATCCTCACGGCTTTATGTGGTTTGCAACTGACATTCTTCATGAAGATGTCTGGGCTTTCAGTAACCTCATTCTTCTATTAATCTGCATGTCACTGCATTCCCAGCACTGCATTTGTGAATTTGAAGCTGGTTGTTGGCCAGATACATGGTTATTGTTGGATTTTCCTTGGGAAAGAAACCTGGACCCTCTCCAGCCTGATCAGATCTTTTTTGAAGAGTTCAGACCATACTGCTCTGTCACCTTGACTCTTCCAGCTTGTGGGAGCAGGACTGAGGACCTGCATGCTGCTGTCCCCTGAGCTCAGGAATAGAAGTAGAAGCTGAGAGCAAGTGGGGTATCTTGGAGAGGAAAGAACGTGCCTGGTGAGTAGCAAAGATCTATCAATGCATATAACATTGTTCTTGCTTTCTCTTCACAGTTGATAGGATTGAGTGTCTCCAATGGAAAGGACCAGCTCGTGGTCTTCCACACGAAGGACAACAAGGATCTCATTGTCTGTCTCTTCAGTAAAGAGCCCTCTAACGACAGCAGGATTGGGGAGCTGGTGGGAGTCCTGGCCAGTCACTTCAAGAGGTCAGTGTGAGGATTGGATTTTGTTGCAAACTGAAACATGTAAAAAATGCCAAATCAGAAACTTCCCCTGAGTCATTTCAATGCCAGTCATGAACCTTATCTGTGTCACTTCACTGTATTACTGGGATACCAGAGCAACATGCGTTTTCCTTGCAATTTTGGGATGCACTTTTTAGCTACAACACTTTGCTTGTCCCTTCTGCCTTCCCTGGATGTGTTTGTTAGAGCACAAATGTCTGGGGACAAATATCACTGAAGATGCATTTTGTGTGTTCTCAGTGTCTCCTGAAAGCTTCTTATAGTCAAACTCTTAACATAGAAAATGAAGATATGGCTATTCATTTCTCACATTGCCCCCCCCAGTAGCAGTAGATGATTTATTGCTTGAGCTGTAAGATATCATCTCTGTTCCCTGAAAATTGTCTCTTGTGTAAATCGATGCACAGGCTGTTTTGTTGGTGAACACATAGTGGTTATCCTGCATTGAGCTGAACTAGCAATAATCACCTTTATACTGTAGAGCAAGTTCAGGGCTGTCCAGACAAGCATCACAGCAGTGACTGCATTGCAGGCAATCACATAAAAGTGACTCGGTAAAGAAAAGGTGTGTGGAGCAAACAGCCCTTCAGAGCTGTGCCCTTGCTCCTCCAGAACAGATCCTCATAAGGTCTGATGTTGGTCAGCATCACCTGCAGCCCTGGCTTTGCCATTCACAATGTTGTGTTCTGTTAATGACCCATAAAGAGGAGTCTTTACAGGTAAATACTCATGCAGAGCTACAAGTGGCAGGACAATGAGAATGAATGTAGGTTATGTTATGTCCCTGAGTAGATTGTGCTATGAACTCAGGAGTGTGCTGGTTTAGCCACTTCTCACCACCACCATGTGAAGCTCACTGCTGTCTGTCCTGCTGGAGGTAGGTGCTAAGTTCATTAGAAATGAATTCTCTACATTGCCATAATTTGTTTTGGGCAATTCAGTACTGAAGAGCCACAGAAAACATTCTCTGCTTTTGCTTTTACCTACGTATAATTGAATTTCAAAGGCAGCAGCTCTTGAAGGCTCAGGAGATGATGGGTGCTGTAAAGCAACACACTTCACTTGGGGAACCCTGTGAAGTAGCTGGAGGCCTTTCATTCCAGGTGACATCATCTTGAGGCAGCTGATGCTCCTCAGTCCTTTAACACATCTCTAATGTTGGGAAGAGCTGTGAAAGCCTTGATAACACTCCAGACCCTGTATGTTCAGTGTTCAGACTGCCCTGGTTTGCTGGGCCTTTTGGTCAGATGTTCCTACCAAGCACTTATCCTTTTTTGTCCCAACAAGAGGCACATGTTCTTCATTTTTAAGGAATCGTGTTGTGTGGCCATCAGTCTAAAATGTTGCACCTTTCCTATAGGGGTATAAACTATTGATCTTCAATTTCTTATATTGATGTTAACAAGGATATTTTTCTCTTTAAAACTAACTAGTTTTTATCTAATCACCATCTGTAGAAGAATGAAGGAGAAATACACTTATATGCTGTTTAATCTTCACTTTAAACAACCATAGCATCATTAAGGTTGGACTAGTAATGTATATATTAGCATTTTTTTTAGTGCTTTGAGTGACAAATCTCAGCACAACTGGTTCAATGGACAGCTGGTCTAAAAGCCCATTTTTCTCCAATATCTAATAAAAATTACTGGTTTAATGGTCGTATACAGGAACAGCTCACATTAGTTTTCCCAATACCCAAATGTCATGGTTTCCCTCTTCAAAGCAATACCTGGAAATCAAAATAAAAGGAAATATTCTTGGTTTTCAGCCACTTTCCATTTTCAAAGAGTAAAAACTCCTGTCAGTGAATGGGATTAGCTGACCCCTCGCTTGAGAGGCACTTTGGGAATTCCTCATGAGACAGGATTAGCTGAAAGTCACCATGTGCCTTATGGCAAGTGTCAGATTTCTCTGTCCTGCCTGTAAGAAAGTGGTTGCTCTGAAAAGGAAATGGGTCCAACAGTAAAATCTTGAGCCCCAAAGTTAAACCTGTGTGACCCTGTAATGGGACTTCAGAGCTCTGCTCCCACGGGGACATGGGGAGCTGCTTCCTTGGGTTACACCTGAGCTCCTCTGAACATAAAAAGCAATTTCCAGCCACCTCAATCCCAGTTCTGAAGCCGTGTTATGGGGTTTTAACACAAGGGTAAGGTTGCACAGCTCTCCTTGGTTATGTGCAGTGTAGTAGGTAATGGTACTTTAGCTATTTGTGTAACAAAATCATATAGAATCCCTTGGCATTCTGTATTAGTGGGCAGGAAAGATGAGGGGGAGGCTGGTGCTGTCGCCTATGCTGAGGACACCTAAACCTTCTCACTCAGATGGTTTGTTTCCAGGTTTTATTATTTTTCCAGGCTCTGAACTCTTCAGTGCTGACACATCTTGCATTGGGAATTTTGACTGTTTTCAGCAAGACATAGTTTAGACATAGTAGAAAAAGTTCAGAGGTGATGTCTTTAGGTGCTGTGTTCTGGCAGCTGGTTTTGGAGCTGTCCCTGACCTTAGATTTAAAGGCTTCGCATCTGGGAGCTTATTGCCTGAGTTCACAGCTTTCCTCTTCACCTATGAAAATCTACCTGGTCCAAAGAGTTCAGAGTCTGCAGGGGGGAGCACTGGGGTTGCATTGCACTGGGGGAACAGAGGCTGCAGGGTCTGGACTTAGGTGAGACCAAAGCTGAGCTTGGGGTTGGGTTATGTCCAGCCTAACGGAGACCACTTTAGTGCCTTCTGAAAAACCTTTATTTGGAAGGGAAAAGTGCACTTTGACTCCTTTCCTGGTATTCACATCTTCAGCCATAAATACTGCTTAAAAGTTTGGATGAGTGCAGTATTCCCTTAATCCTCCTGAACTCCATAAATCAAGTGTCAGAATAAAGCTGTACCAGAATTGCAGGCAATTTGGGGGAGATTAAACATACTTGGTACAAAGACAACTCCTCACAAATGCTTTTTCTGGGTTTTTGCTCTTTGCAGCAGCTCGTGCTGTGGCAAACAAAGCTTCCTGCAAATGTGTTTAAGTGAAAGATTGTTAAATTTGCCATTATCTAAATAGTGGTGTTTAAGGTTGAGCTCCAAGAGCACTGCCTACAGGGTGATTTTTGTTAGTAGTATGAACACCAAGTTGTTTGTCAGCCAGATGGGAAGGAACACTCTGTAAATACACATTTTCAATCCACTGGGAACAGTGAGGACAAGGATTTTACACATTTTTGATGCTGTCCATAAAAAAAATTACAAAAGAGATTCAACCTGCTTTGATTTTGCTGGTTTAGGAGAAACTCCTGAGCTCAGTGCTGAGCACAAGGGAGCACAAATCATTAAGTAGGAGAGTCCAGTCTGATTAAAATCAGTTCAGTTTTTTGTATTTGAATTTCTTCCACTGATACAAAGAAAAGAACCTTCCCACTCAGGCCCAGGTATCAGGCAAGAGGTTAAAACCCTTCACTTTGTTGTAAAGATGCTCTTTGATATCCAAACTGTGCTGATTTTAATCAGTTTATAATCATTCCTTTCTTTTAAAGCTATTTGCCTTTCCCTTGCAGAAACCTTGATTAACTGCTGACACTAATAGACTTACGTGTGAGTTAAAACAGAAGCATCTTGTCTGTAGTCAGTGACAATCTGGAGGAGATGATGGGGAATTCATACTCTTGGGTTTTGGGGGCAAAGAAAGAAAGAGGAGCCCAAACTGGGCTTTGAGAACACCCGTGTGGTGTGTGCTGCTCACAGAGCGACCCCACTCCAGGGAAATCACCATCTCCTCAGGGAGAAAGCCTCTGCACAAAGGGAGGGTGTTACCACCGCTGCTATCAAATTAATCTGTCACTTCAGCTTTGGGAACACTAGGAAAATTATCCAGGACCTGACAGTGGGTGTCAGCGGCACCGGTGATGAGCGCTCTTTAACTGGAAGTTTCCTTCAATGCTGGTGGGTTCTTGTGGGCTAAATGGGATCAGAAGGAGTTGAGAGCTGCTTCGGAAAAGCGGGCTGGGCAGGAACTGCTTCTCAAGTGCTATTTAATAGGATTTGTCCTTTGTCACTGCTGCCAACTAACCCGTGTTTAGCTCTGATTCAGCCGTGCCAGTGGCTGACACCATTGTTAGCAGCGGCTGGAGCTGACAAAGGACCAGACTTTATTCATATCAGGCTCTTCCCTAATGTTTCTTTCAGTGCTTGAGCCCTGTTTTTATACAGATTTCTATTCATAATGGATTTGTAGTAAAATTCAGGCGTGTTTGTGGGGGGAGCCCTAACCCACAGGTAGCTGTTGGGTTTTAGACACCAGGTACACTGTGGAAGGGCAACAGGAAAAACAGATTCTTTATACAAAATAGGCTGTTTGAAATGCATAAACTAGAGAAATCGGCTTAATTCTCTCAGCTTGTCTTAGTGACTTGAAAAACATTCCTAGTATTTGACTAAGCTTTACCTCTGGCTAATTTATGATCTTTAGAATCATCTCTGGTAACTCCTGTGTAGGTTTGTCGCTCTCACTTGTAACTTGGGTTAAGAAATGAGTTTTCCTTGGAAAATACATTGTGTAGATTAAGGATTTGTTGCTTTCAGTGACTCCTGGGTATGAAGGGGCAGAATTAGAGCCCCCTGATGAAGCCCACTCTCTTCATTGAATTCTTTTATGTTTCAGAAAACCTTTCTTCAGCTCTTGATACAACCAAGTTTTCCAAACCCTTGTCCTGCTAGAAGGGAGCCCATAAAGGAGCTTGGTAGAAGATCATTTCCTTTCTTAAACTCCATCTTCCTGATGCTGCTGCTGTGGCAGAGCTCATTCCCTGTCTCTGAAATGGGTCCTGAGATCCCTGGCCAGGGATCCCTTCCCCAGTTCCAGTGGAAAAGTAGCTTTTTGTTACACTTCTCAGTATGTTCCTGGCATGGAAAAAACCCTTTGTCTCCTGCAGTCCTGGATTTGTAATATTAAGAACAAAATGAGCTCGAGAGAG